TGATGGAAGCAGAAGCAGACACCCACAGCTAAGCACTGAGGTGATCTCCTGGAATCCAGTTGTAGAGCGGGAGGAGTGATGAACAAAGGAGTCAAGGCCAGGCTGGTGAAACCCACAGAAACAGCTGACCTGAAAAAGGGGGAGCTCATGGACACCATACTGACAGCTGGGAAACCAGCATAGGTTCGACCCAGACCCCCTGAATGTGGTGTTAGTTAGGAGGCCTGGGCAATCTATGCGGCCTCAAGTAGTGTATCAGTATTGATTCCTAGTGTATGAATGGAATTTGGGAGCTCATTCCGAGGGACCTGGGATTGACCTGTAAAATAATTTTCTTTCTAATAAAAAAAAAAAACAGGAAGAAAAAAAGCAAACGTGGAAGAGAATCAGAAAAAATTAATATTCATTAAAAATTGTCTAATTCAGCAAAAAAATAAAAAAAATAATGGCCATTATTTGCTGGCAGTGTGGCACATGCCATTAATCCCAGTACTCAGGAGGCAGAGGCAGAGGCAGGTGGATCTCTGAGAATTAGTGGTCAGCCTAGTGGTCTACAGAGTGAGTTCCAGGACAGGCCGGGCTGTTACACAGAGAAACCTTGCCTCAAACAGAAAGAATGGCCATAATCTTTTGTGCTTTCCAGTTCTGTCATTCAATTCATCTTGAAATTTTCCTACCTGTTAATGATGAGTTTTTTGGTGATTAGTTTCATACTCCTCTATAAATTCTTTGGAGGAAAAGTTTCCCATAATAAGAGGAAAGAAAGAAAAGAAATGTCAGGTCATTCTAACTCAAGTATGAAAAAGAAATGTAGGTAAAAGTGTTTTGCCCAGTAGTGAAGACCATAAAGAGATAAGAAGACTAAAGCATCTAGTTCTTAGAATTCACATACTTCCATCTAACTTTTCTAATCTGCAAATCATTTTAGAAATTATTAGGTTAAAAATAGGGCTTTTTGATTTTTGAAACACAACATTCATTTTTAGATTGCTAATTTATAAGTGAATGACTCATCATAACTACTTGTGTACCCAAAGTGAAGTAACAATGTTAATTTGTCCAATTTGGGGCAGTGGTTTGAGTCCATGAATAGAAAAGTACTTTTAGTCACTAGAAATTTAAGAATGGTTCTCGAAAGGTCTAAGCCAGATAGGGCCCCAGCACTGATGGGGAAATGGACACAAGTGTCCATTCCTAACCCGGAAGCTATCTCCAGTTGACAACTGCCACCAAAGGAAAGATTATTTTTCTTCTGTGGAGTCTCACTGGGTATGCAAATCCCACACAAGGGCAAGCTCCGTGTCTAGCAGTAAATGACCAAGACCAAATGAACTCAAGGGTATTTTTGGAGGGCTTTTTTTTCTTACAATGCTTTGTTTGGGCAATTTTTTTTGTTACCTTACAATGTATTTTGCTTATATATCTGGTTTCTGATTTTGTGTTTTTATGAGATTTCTATGTGTCTATGGCTATATGTGTTTATGTTCTTTCTTTGACTTTTTTTCCTGTTTGTTTCTGTGTTTTTGTTGTTGCTTGTTTGTTTTCTTAGGAGAGGGAAAGAAAAAGAGAGGGGGGAGGGAGGGAGGGAGGAAGGGAGAGAGGGAGAAAAATATAAAGAGTATGTATATGAGTGTGTGGGGGGAACTGATCAGAATATATTGTATGAAAATCTGTTTTCAATAAAAAAATAAATGTATGAAGTGAATTTTGACAATTGAAAGATTTACTCAATGGCTTTTGAAATGCCACTCATATCTCTTACTTATCTTGATGCACGGCAGAATGCTCTGATAAAGCAGCTTAGGAAGGAAGTTTCTTTTGGCTCATGGTTCGGATGTAGTGTGTGATGGCAGGGAAGGCATGGCAGTGGAAGCTTGAAGCAAGTGGTTGCCTTGTGCCTGCAGTCAGGAAGCACAGAAAAGAATGCTGGTTTGCAGTTCTCTTTCTCCTTTGTATTTAGACCAGGATCCCAGCCCTAGGGATGATGCTGTCCTCAGTTCAAGTTGGGTCTTCCCACCTCAGTCAGAGTAATCTAGATCATCCTCTATAGGCCTGCCCAAAGGCTAATGGGATCTCAATAATGGCTCACAGATTCCCAGAAGCTGATGTAGTCTAGATAATCTCTTATAGACATATCCAGAAACTTGTCTTCTAAGTGATTCTCAGGCTGTAATGTTGATAGTATTAGCCATCGTTCTATGCTAAGGACTGTATTTCAGTTGCTGAAGGACATGAAGAAGCTTATAGAACTCAGTATAAAATGTTAGTAAATAGGTAAACTGTGGTTAGAAAAACAGTAGGAAACAGATTGTGTTAGAGCTGGATCTGCTGTGTTGGAAGTCTGTCACTGTTCAGCACTGCCAGTGTGTAGTGGACCCAAAACTTGGCTATCACCATGTTAGGTACTACCTTGTGGATATAGCGGGCTGTCCTCTTTTCCTTAAGTGTTGGGGAGTGTCTTGATGGCACCCTGCTCTTGCCCCTGCTTCTCTCAGTTAAATTATATGCAAACCCAAGCAATCTTGTTAGAACATAAGTATTACAGCACTCATCTGCTCAAAGGTTCTGGCAAATATGAACCTTTTTCTCTCAAGATGAAAGGCAGAGCTTTCATAATGACACAGTAAAGTATTTCATGTCCTGGAACATTGCCCCTCAGGACCAGCCTCTTGCATCAGTTTCTGCCCCAGCCAGTATGCTTGCCCTTCCCTTTGACTGGAATGTTCCTTCTCTAGATGCCTGCTTTGGTTACCTCCTCTTGCTTCAGTCCTAACTCTACTATTTGTTGAGACATCTCTGACCAGGATTCTGTTGCCCTTTTTTTGCTTTTATTTTTCCCTTGACATTTTTCACTCTTTAATATACTTTTTATTCTACTTAATTTTCTTGTTTCTAGTCTCCTTTCAATAGAATGTAAGTCAGCTTTGTGAAAGTGGGATCTATGTTTTATCCATGATGTCTCTCAGTGTACTTTGCATGTCATAGTGGAAGTTCAATAAATATTTACTGAGTGAATGAATGTACTGCATGAACACAGCAGTTTAGTTATTATAATTAGCAGAGGAAACAGAGCTGTAGCAGATCCGGGTAAGGGAGTCACAGGAGAAGCATCTGAATGTTAAGAAGTGAGCAGTTGTGTGAAATGTCATGGATAATCACACTAATAAGATAGGCTGCTTGAATGTAGAGTTTAAAAGGAAAAGGTGAATTTAGGAAGAGCTGAATACAGATTGCAGAAGATTAGCAGGCAATAGGCATTTCACATGCAAAGTGTGGGCTACTAGGATTTTTATAGTATTTAAAGTAAATCAGGAACAACCAATTTGTTTGTTTAAAAATGAGGTATGGATGGCAAAATGGTTCAGTCCAGTAAAAGTCCTTGCTGCATAAACCTGAATGCTCATGTTCCATCCCCAGAACCAGCAAAAAAGGCAGAAAGAGAGCTTTGACTTCACAAAGTATTCTGACAATGAACATGTAGACACAAATTTTTCAAAGATTAAAACTTTGCTAGTCAAGACTTAACTTATATTTTTAATGTTTGTGGGGTGCTTTGTTCTTTGCAAACTGCTTTCATATACCCTTTAATGTTCAAACCCATGAGGCAATATGGTGAGTACAACTGTAGTCTGCCTTTGATAACAGAGAAAATGATGAAATGTGGTGTGGTGGTTTGAATAAAAATGCTCCCCATAGGCTCATATATTTGAATGCTTGATCATCAGGGAGTGACACTACTTGACAGAAATTATGAGATGTGGCCATGTTGGAGGAAGTGTGTTGCTGGAAGATGGGGCTTTGGGGATTCAGAAGCCCAAGCCAGGCTTAGTGGCTTGCTCTCTTCCTACCACCTGCCAATCTGGAGGCAGAACTCAAAGTTGTCTTTTCAACACCATGTCTGTGTGTGTGCTACCACGTTTCCCACCATGACAATAATGGATTAAACTTCTGAAACTGTAAACCAGCCACAACTTACTGTTTTTCTTTATGAGTTGTCAAGGTCATGGTGTCTCTTCACAGCAGTGAACCTGAATAAGACGGTGGTGAATCCTACCCCCATATTTGATAGAAAAAGGAGTACAACGGGACAAAAGAAAAACAATCTATATTTGATATCCACCCCATGTCATGTTTTAGAAATTTGGGTTATCTGATTTAGTTGGATTTTATTTTGAATGTATATTGGTAGGTTCTTAAATTGCCTAGAAGAAAATTGTGATGGAAGTTAAGAGTGCTAGGGTTGTTTATGTGACACTGAAGGATAGGCACTGGCTGGGGATAGATAGTTGGTACACTGACTCTTAGATTGTTTTCTATGACAGCTATGAACAAACAATTCAACACTAGTTTTTATGCAATCAAGATAAATAATGTGATTTCTATTCTGACAAGACATTTTCTATTCTTTTATCTTTTCTTGTTTCTATATATTTGTAGGAAGTGACAATAATATAAAAAGTGATATTTTATATTAATTCTGAAATCTAGCAGTCCATTTACAAATGGCAACAGCTAGGGAGAGTATAGTACAGTTAAACCAACCTAGATATTTTCCAAATTAAGAGGAAGCCAATCTGACTGATTTCAAGGCCATTTAATTAAACCTGTCATTTTGTATGCTTTATTCAAAATATGCTAACCTATTCTGAATGGGCATTGTCAAGACAGTGGTATATTCGAAGAGACTGGGGTTTTCTATTTTTGATTTTACAACTCAGGTGTGACTTACAAGTATCTTCTCTGGCATCTTAATTTCCACTTAATAGTGGCTGACTTTGTAACATGTGAATCCAGGAGAGTCCATTATCTTCTCAGCTTGATTCATGTTAGTTAGCTATGAACGTCAGCATCAGTAAGAACTTCAGTGAATCAATTTACGTATTTTATTTAGTAAAATCTGTTCTCCTAAGCATGTCTGTGAAGCAGTGATGTAATTTCAAATTTCTTGCAAAACTATTTCATAAATTTTATAAAATTTTCATGGAATCTTGTTTTCGCAGGTTTCTAAATGTGTGTGGGTCTGAATTGGTACGCCTTGAGTTATCGTGCAGCCACTTTCTTAATGAAACTTGCTTGGAGGTTATTTCCGAAATGTGCCCAAATCTACAAGACTTAAATCTCTCATCCTGTGATAAACTGCCACCTCAGGCTTTCGGTCACATTGCCAAGTTATGTAGCCTTAGGCGGCTCATTCTCTATCGGACAAAAGTAGAGGTAAGAATAACTCATTTGTGTTTTTCCTGATGAAACATCCAGGTGAATATTTAATTGCCTCCAGTTTTTCATGTGATTTCTCATTTTAAAACAAAGGTTATGCTATCATCTGGATACTCTTAGGGTCATTACAGCTTGGTTAGTTGCTTCAGAGTTATAGCATGTTGTGGTTTTAAATGACAAACTTTTAATGTTGCCATTTGGGGGGAAGGGAGGATGGTGAGCCAAGGGGATAATTTAGAGGTAGGGGCCAGCAGGTGCCATGCAGGAGGACATTTGCATAGAGGGGGAGGAAACAAAATGCACAGTATTAGAAGTAGCCATAGTAAAATTAATGTCACCATAGTTCCCAGTTCTCATGTTAGTAAAACAGAATCATGTCATATATATGCTTGCCCTCTTTACATACACCTGTAGGACATCTTTCCAGGTCAGTATGTGCTGGTTTCTGAGTTTGCATGAGTTGTGTACTGTATGTTATACTACTATTTACTAACCATTCTCTAAATGAAGATTTTATTTTTCTAGGCATGTCCATTTGATAAAATGTCTAACTAGTAACAGTTACTCCTCTGTTTGGTTTCCATTTGCTTGCTGTCGTCACTATGGGACAGTGATACTTCTGGATTAAAAGAGAGATGCAAAGATACCATAGCAAACAGTGAATTTCTGTTTATTTTTCCTTCTCCTCCAGACACATAGGTCTGCTTTTGGTTCTTTCAACATTCTTACTTAGTGCCAACTCAGTTCTTCCTTCATCTCTTTATCTGTACTGTATTCCCAGCTTATTACATTTCTTAATAATGAGCAGGGTTCTAACTCATTTAAATTTTTTACGGATGGCTTCTTGAACATTGGTTAGAAGGAAGCCTCTTTTCTGGCTTGTGTCTCTTGTATTACTCAGTTTTATTTCCTTTTTAACATCTCTGCGGTGCTCTAGTACCATCATTATTTTCCTTCTTGTATTCTGTCTCTTCACATTAAGATATGTAATTTTATATATGGTGTATTCATTGTGCTGTTTCCAGATTCTAGAACAGAATTTGGTCAAGATTGGCCATCAGCAAGTATTTACTAAGTGAATGAATGAAAGAACCCAGTTACATTTCTTTTTTACCCCCTGTTTTTATTAGAAAGAAAATTATTTTACATGTCAATCCCAGATCCCTCTCCCTCCCTTCTTCTCCTCCCCCCACAACTAATGCCCTACCCATCCCATACCCTTTCTGCTCCCCAGGGAGGGTTAGGTCTTCCATAGGGGGGTCTTCAAAGTCTGTCATATTCTTGTGCCTAGGCTCAGGGAGTATCCCTCAATGTGGGATGGGCTCCTAAAGTCCATTCCTATGGTAGCGATAAGTACTAATCACTACTACAAGAGGCCCCATAGATTTCCAAGGTCTGCTCACTGATACCCGCATTCAGGGGGTCTGGATCAGTCCCATGCTGGTTTCCCACCCAGTTCAATTTATTGAAATGGTATTTCCCACTATAATGGACCTTTATGTGTCTTGACTGTTACTTGGTCCAAGGTATTCAGCATCTTGATATTTCAGTTTCTCTAAGATAAAAATGCAGATCTCATTGGGTCATTATGAGTACTAAATGTAGTCATTCCTAGAGAATGTATTAAATTTAGAGGTCATGTAACATTATCAAGGAGTTTTATAGTGTAATGTTTTACTGTGAAGGGAAAGACTTTCCTCACTATTGGATTCAAAGACTTTTTGGTGTGTCTATAGACTTGTCCTACCTGATGTTTCATCAGGGGTTTCATTTAGAAGTCAGTCATTCCATTCCATTTTACTCTCCAATAAAGCTTTCCATCTGCTCCTTTAGGTCTTGTTTTATGTCTGAAGGCACATTGTAGTTTTCATTTAGATCCACTTATGTGTTGCGTGTTACACTTTCAGGTGCTATTTTTCCTTTTCATTTAATTTTCACTGGTTATTATTAATATATAAGGAAGCTTGGGTCTTTAAATGTATTTTTTCTCATACCTGTCCCCCTTACTGATACTTTTAATTGTTCTAGTAATTTTTCATTTGCAACTTTTGGATTTTCTTATAGTTACATAATCTAGAAACTAATACTAGTATTTGAAGTATTACTTACTAGGTAGACTTTTGTAAATGATGTAGAAATGTAGGGTTTTAATGGACGACTTATCAGTGTTTTTCCTAATGTGCTGGGATTCTCTAATTCTTTTTTATTTACATACCATGTGCTTCGAACTCATAGTGAATTAAACAAACAACATCTCATACAGCTTACTATTTTTATACTTTTTGGTATTGCTTTTAATAAGATGTTTTGATTATCCTTATTTAATTAAGAATATTATATAAAATATAATAAAATTTTGGGCCTCAGCACCGTTCTTACATTGCTGGGTAATCCCTTTGTGGCCCTGGTCTCCCAATTGTCACCCACGTTCAGGGGCCCTGGTTCAGTCCTATGCTGGTTCCCCAGCTGTCAGTCCTTGAATTTCCACTTGCTCAGGTCATCTATTTCTGTGGGTTTTCCCAGCATGGTCTTGACCCTTTTGCTCATCACTTATAGGTTTAAAGAGAAATCTGACACTGCCTCCATGTTTTAAAGTTAGTGCATAGCTGGGTTGGTTACCTAATATTTTGGAACCATATTATGTGGGTGTAAAATTGTCAACTGTCTATAAATTTGTTTTCAACTGTCTTATCTTAAGTAGGATTATCCATTCTGAAATGTCATTGTTTTATTGTTATATGTACTAAATATAATATTTACGTGAAACTTGTTGATATATATGCTTTATGCTATTGTACTTGATAATTATATTTTATGTGACTGTGTAACAGGAAAAATAAATGACCCAGAGACTGATATTAGGGTTCAAGTTTCAAGCTGAGTATCAGAAAAGCAAAGCAGCCAGCCATTAGCTCTCACCTCTAGCTCAGGCTGAAAGGGCTGATCCATGAAGGAGCTCTTCACCAAATCTTAAACTGCTGCCTCTCCTCAGCATGGCTAGAAAACGGATCCTTCCCTGAGACCTTGCTTCTGTCTTAAATACTTCCCTAATGCTGGGATTAAAGGTGTGAGCTATAATTCTCTTTTAGACTGATTCACTCTTGTGTAGATTTGGGTGGTCTTGGACTCACAGAGATCTGTCTATCTCTTAATCCTGAGTCCTAGGATTAAAGGTGTGTACCACCACCTCCACCACTGCCACCACCTCCTCCTCCTCCTCCTCCTCCTAGATTCTGGCTGCTGGGATTAAAGGTGTGTGCCTGGCTTCTAAGGCTTGTGGCTAACTTTCTGAATCTTCAGACAAGCTTTAATAAATCATAAATAATATATCACTACATGACTGTATACTTTAGATTAATAAACTATAGTTATTTTAAAAGACAAATCTGTACTTTATTGGTCAGTGTACTATGTAGTTTGAAACCTTCTGAATGAGATAATACCTCCATTTATTTATTTATTTATTTATATTTTCAATCCATTACTTTTTAAAAACTTTACTTAGAATTTCTGCATGCAAACCTTTAATTCATTCACACTGAACTTAGAAAATTATCAACCTTATGACATAAGGAAAGCAATAAGTAATATTAATTGCACAGTTACAGTGTTATTTTACCATACAGTTCATTTATTATGAGCTCCCATATTGCTTTCATAATATTCGGATCTTATTGTCCCTACTCTGACTTCCTGAAGTTTATAATTCATTCATGCACATGTTTTAAAGGACAAAACAGTTACCAGTTTCCAAGCTTTCTTTTACAGTTTGTGGATTTTTTCTTCATTTACCCACCTTTCAAACTTTGTAACAAGACTGGCTTTTTACTGAACAAAATTATAGCCCCTAATATTTATCTATCTATCTGTCTGTCTGTCTGTATTATGTACCTATCTATCTGTCTATGTGTATATGTATGCATCTATTTATCTATGCTTTCATATGTTACATCCCAACAAGTTTCCCCTCCCTCCTCTCCTCCCAGTCTCACTCCCACCACCACCACCTCTCCCCCAGATCCATTCCTCCTTTCCCTTCAGAAAAGGGGAGGCCTCCCAGGGATCTCAATCATGCATGGCATATCAAGTTACAGTAAGTCTAGGCACGTACCCTCATATGAAGGCTGAACGAGGCAACCCAATAGGAGGAAAAATGTTCTAAAAGCAGCAAAAGAGTCATAGTCACCCCCACCCCCACTGTTAGGATTCTCCCAGAACACCAGGCTACACAACCATAACATATATGCAGAGGAGATCTGTCTGACCCATACAGGCTCTGTCCAGTCTGTGAGCCTCTGTGGGCCCTGGTTAGTTGATTCTGTGGCCGGTTTCTTGTGATATCTTGGTCCCTCTAATATCTCCTTTTTCAATTCTTTGATTATTTGACTTTAAGAAGAAATATAATAAACTTAACTATTAAAGATTTCTATTAAAAGAAAATAAGGTAACCAAAATTGAAGGGCATCTTAAATTGGTGATGATTTGTGATAATAAACTTTTGAAATGTTATATATTCATATGATCTGATGAATTATTAGTCTGTGGTTTTCTTAAATGCACTCCTAGAGACGGATGGACTGTGACTGTTTTATAAAGTGTGACTTAAGGGATTGAGATCTCCTGTCACAAGAGTAGACATTTATATGTGTGTACTGACATCTAGATAGTGCCAGTTCTAGCTTTCTCCGTGTACTTAAATACTCATTGTATGGATATATTATATAAAATTTAGATATAAATATTATATAAAATTTAGATAGTACCTTATCTTATCTCTTACCTACTTTTTGGTGAGCCATCTGCTAAATTAGCAATTTTAATGTTCTATATATAATGGGTTTACTTTTTTATTTTTTAAAAGAGATTCATTTATTATGTATACAGTGTTCTGTCTGCATGTTTGCCTGTATGCCAAAAGAGGGCACCAGATCTCAGTATAGATGCTTTTGAGCCACCATGTTTGTGGTTGGAATTGAACTCAAGACCTCTGGAAGAGCAGTCAGTGTTCCCAGTCATCTCTCCAGCCCCCAAATTGGTTTTCA